GATCATTTTCTCACCTCCTGAAGCCCGGAATCTGTTTCTCTCGCCAGACCCGCTTTTCCCACAACTCCGTATATTGTAGCTGGTAGAACCCCCGAAACCCGAGGGTCTAGACGCTGCGCGAAACCGTTGTCCCGTCGGTGCCGAAGGAGCGCCTGGAAAATTCATGACCTCAAGGAGCAACTACCCGTTCTCCTGGCCGGCTATCGCGCAGCTCCTGGACCCCACGGCATCCTTCCCTGCCCCCCCCCCCACACCCCCCAAGGGGTATTACACTCTAAAAAGTGGGGTGAGCTAGGAAAGTAGCTCTGATACCAAGTGTTATGAGTTGTACTAAACAGAGTGCGCGGAAGACTTTATAAAAAGGATGAATTGCAGAATGACGATTGAATGAATAAGGCAAGTATTTATAGGGCGAATACATGCTAGGCAAGAACCTCGTGACGTGCGAGGGTTGGGTGTGTCGCGACTGGTGCGGGGCAACTCGGTGGTGGTTCGGGCCGAAATGTAGGCCGAACCGGAAACTGGCGCGCAGTGTTCGGGGCTGTCCTCGCTAAGGGCAGCTTCAGCAGTAATGAATTGTATATTCATTAGATAGGCACACCACATGACAACCACCCAACCACCAGCCACCTAACAAACACATGGAAACGACCAACCCACAAACGAGCACAATGGCGCAACATGCGCCTCTTGGCGACCCAGAGGAGACAGGCCTTGTCGGTCCGGTGTAGTTGGCCTCCTCTGGTTGGCTCATTGCCAGCATGGAACTGACATCAGGTCCGCGTTATTACAGACAAGCGCCACTGGTGCCTTTTGTCGCTGCACATACCCGACATAGGAGCTCGACGCTTGGCAGCTGGCAATGCTGCTGGTTACAGTGAAGCGATGTGGCGAAACAGCCTAACGGAATAATTTTAACAGTCCCCGAGCCGCATCTGCCTAAAATGTGCGGATGTGATGGGTGGGATGATGGGAAATCTCTCCTACAGAAGCAGAAACACAGGAAGGTCTTCACCTACCGCCATAGCTGCACGCTCGCACCCCTTGGACGCACATCTGAACCCACCTCGAAACGCCCGCTGCAGGATGAGGCGCAGATGTCCTGTCACGAGCACAAGCTTCTAAATGTCAGCTTCGATGGTTTTCTCCAACAGCCTAGAGCGATACAACTTACCCGCAACCATTCGCTCCCCCATCCTGACAGGAATCGTGTTCGCGGCAGTCTTTAATTCACGACAGCAGCATATCACGCAGTTCCCCAAAAGATAGTCTCCCAGCTCTCAAAAATGGGTATCACACGGCCTCTTGTCGTCCTCACGTTTCTCGCATGCAGTCTGTCCCTCGCCATCGCCATCGCCGCGTCGCAGACGTTGTCAAACATATAGTTACTATAGTCGGTCTAGGCTGTAGTGGGGTAGTCCTTAGAGGGTACAACACTTATGTGTTTCCTACTTGTACCCTTCTCATTTCCTAATTCAATCATTCTTTCGTCTATCATTCTGACATGGTATAGAGCTAGTTTCGAGATTTTTTTTACCTGACCAGACGCAGGGACCGGAGGAGGCGCAGTTACAGCCGGCCTCTCCGCTGCCTGGTCCTTCTCCTTACTCTGGTCCGACTAGAGGTCTTACGGAGCGTCGTGAGCCTGAGTCGCGTCCTGTGTTGCCTGCGTCTCGTTCTGCGTCGCCTGTCCGTTCTGTTCGCGCTGGTCGTGTTTCGCGTCCGCATCTTCCTCCTGTCCCTGGCACTCACTCTATGACACTGCGTCCTTCTACTGCTCCACAGCGTGTCCCTCTGCCCTCTCCTCCTGCGTCCTCTCTTCCTGACGGTCCGGACCCGGAGTCTGACTCCCTTCGTGCTGCTAGTCCTACTGTCACGCGCTTTCTGGCCACTGCTGTCACTGACCCCCTGTTTGAGTTCTCTGCTGCGTCTGCTCTTGTTGCTGAGCTTGTTGACTTTGCTGCAGCCTGTCGCCTAGACTACGCCGCTAGTCTTGTTGCTGAGTCTGCGTCTGCGTCTGTCTGTCCTCCGTCCGTCGGGGGTGAGTGTGCTCTTGGCACGGACGTCCTTGAGGACAGGCAGGAGGACCTTGAGTGCTTTGCTGCTGCTTCACCTCATCTCGTGTCCATGCTGCTTGCCCCTGAGGGAGACCCGGATGCACTAGACATCCCGACCCCGCGCTCTTACGCAGAGGCGATAGAGGGTCCCTACTCCTCTCAGTGGCAGGCAGCCATGGACGCTGAGATGGCTTCCTGGAAGTCCACAGGCACCTACGTAGACGAGGTTCCCCCACCTGGGGCGAACATCGTCAGTGGCATGTGGATCTTCAGGGTGAAGCGGCCACCGGGTTCTCCGCCTGCCTTCAAGGCGCGTTACGTTGCACGTGGCTTCAGTCAGCGACAGGGAGTTGACTTCTTTCAGACCTTCTCCCCTACCCCGAAGATGACCACTCTTCGGGTACTGCTGCACGTTGCTGCTCAGCGTGACTACGAGCTCCACTCGCTTGACTTCAGCACAGCCTTCCTACAGGGCAGCCTGCACGAGGAGATCTGGCTGCGCCGCCCACCTGGCTTCACTGGGTCGTTTCCTGCTGGTACCCAGTGGAGCCTCCGGCGGCCAGTCTACGGTCTCCGCCAGGCGCCCCGTGAGTGGCACGACACGCTCAGGACGACTCTTGCTGCTCTTGGTTTTGCTCCTTCCACTGCTGACCCTTCTCTGTTTCTACGCACTGACGCTACTCTGCCGCCGTTCTACGTTCTTGTGTACGTAGACGACCTTGTCTTTGCTACTGCTAACACGGAGGCACTCGCCCACGTGAAGTCCGAGCTGCAGAAGAGACACACTTGCACAGACCTGGGTGAGCTCACAAGCTATCTTGGCTTGCGGATCACCCGGGACAGAGCACAGCGCACCATTACCTTGACTCAGTCACACATGGTGCAGCAGGTCCTTCAGCGCTTCAGCTTCACGTACTCCTCGCCACAGTCCACTCCTCTGCCTACCGGTCACTCGCTCTCAGCTCCACCTTCGGACGAGTCCGTAGAGCCGAGTGGCCCGTATCCAGAGCTTGTGGGCTGCCTCATGTACCTGATGACTTGCACACGACCTGACCTCGCATACCCTCTCAGCCTTCTGGCTCGCTACGTGGCTCCCGGCAGGCACCGAAAGGTGCACTGGGATGCTGCGAAGAGGGTGTTGCGATACTTGTGCAGTACATCGGGCATGGGGCTCGTGCTTGGAGGACGGGCTCGAGTTGTCCTCACTGGTCACGCTGACGCCTTCTCGGTTGACGACTTGGCTACGCAGCGGTCGTCACAGGGTTACACCTTCAGCCTTGGCTCCGGTTCTGTCTCCTGGCGGTCTACCCGCTCTTCTTCTGTTCTCAGCTCCAGCTGTGAGGCTGAGATCTACGCTGGGGCCATGGCTGCACAGGAGCTTCGCTGGCTCACCTACCTGCTGACCGACTTGGGAGAGGCGCCTCGTTCTCCTCCAGTTCTGTACGTCGACAACAAGGCCATGCTGGCCTTGTGACAGGAGCACAGACTGGAGCACAGAACGAAGCACATTGCTCTGCGCTACTTCCTTGCTCGAGAGTTGCAGCAGCGTGGCCAGCTTCGTCTTGCTTACGTGGCCTCTCAGGCCAACACTGCTGATGTCTTCACCAAGGCACTTCAGCCTTGTGATCATCAGCGTTTCTGTACTGTGTTAGGCCTTGTACCTACTGTGCCTCACTTGTTGACTTCTTGACTCTGCTTTTACTGTACTCTATATACTTATACCTGCATGCTTACACTTGCTAGGTTGTGTTCACGGTATTGTTTGCTTTCTTTTATATAACTCTGCATGTGACTGGCCTTCTGGCCCTTTGCTTGTGCTCAGACTGTGTGGTGACTTTGTGATCCACCCTGAGTTTGCTTTGTCTTTCTTGACTGGTCTTGTGACCCCTTGTTCTCCCCCACTTTGCCTATGGGGGTGTGTCAAACATATATTTACTATAGTCGGTCTAGGCTGTAGTGGGGTAGTCCTTAGAGGGTACAACATTTATGTGTTTCCTACTTGTACCCTTCTCATTTCCTAATTCAATCATTCTTTCGTCTATCATTCTGACAGACGTTACCAAGCAACAGCTTCGCAACGCGCTACGAGCAGGCGTTGACCGAAACCCTACAACTGACCCTGCAACTCAAGGAGATCTACAGAGCAACGAGGCTCAGGGACGCGGTGCCTGACGTTGACGATGACGAAAATGACAATATTGGCGAAGAAAACGGCTCTCGCCGCCAACTGAAAGGCGCGCCGAAGAAGCAGTTCGGGTTGAATCCTCCGCCGCTCAACTCAGGCCCGAGCATGGCTGAAGTCAACAACACGTTTTTCCGTTTCGATTCCGTCACGCCGAATGCAGTGGTGGACTGGTGCCAGACGATATACATTTCGCCCATCCAACAGCAGTACCAGGTACTGCCGCCGCATTCTCAACGGCCGTCCGCCAGACTCGGAGGCGGAGGTGGTCGTGAAAGAAAGTTGCGAGGATATTTTCTTGCTCGACGCATCACTCTTCTTGATACACGAATATTCATATCGCCGATTAGCAATAACAACATTTCTTTTTCCTTTTTCCCCATTCCTTCTCATGGCAGTGCGCTAGCTGCTTGGCGATCGCAGCCGTTGATTCCATCTCCATGATGTGGGCAATCAACACCAACTCGCTACCAGCCATCCTTTCCCCGCAGTAAGTGCGTGAAATTGCTGCTGTGCTTCTTGGAAGCCTTGCTTTCTCTCATCGGATTTCCCAAACCCTCGGCACGTTCAGTATTACATTTCTTATAGCGGTATATAATTCTATCAGTTACTGTACTTATCCAAGTTCGAGGGTTCCGTTTCGCGGCTGGCAGGTGTGCGACTGCGGGACCAAGCAATGCTGCCACGGCGGCTGGCCCGACTGGGCGTTTTTGTACGTACTCTTTAATGGCGGCATCACTTCCGTGAATAACTACCCCTACATGGCTAAAGACAGTACAGTGTGCCTCACTAACTCGCTCACACCGACCACTGCCCAGGTCAGCCACACAATACAACTGAAAGCATAGCTCGTCCTCCTTTCTGAATCCCGTTTTCTCTTTCCTGTCAGTCGCCGTGTCACAGCTTGCTTTATCTCTTCATCAACGTATCACACCGCTCCAAGGCCGTCTTGTCTCTACTAACATCTTTTCTCGCCGCCTCACTTTCTCATATCGCGTTTTTCCTCCCCTCTCCCCTCTTTCTGCCGCAGATCACGGGGTGGGAGCTGGTACCGCCATACAGCGTGCAGGCGTTGATGAAGGCGGTCAGCATGCAGCCCGTCGTCGCCTTCCTCAGCGGCTCCGCGCAGGATTTCCAGCTGTACAACTCGCGCGGGCAGCTGAAAATTTACGACGGGCTGTGCACGACGGACATCAACCGCGCGGTGCTGGTGGTGGGGTATAACTACACGGGTTCGAGTCTCGCGGGTAGCTATTGGATCCTCAAGAACACGTGGTTCAACACGTGCGGCGACAGCGGCTACATGTACCTCGCCATGTTGCCCGACGTGCGCGGGAAATGCGGCATCCACACGTACTTGGCATTTCATGTTTTCAATCAGCCGATTTTCGACGGCATCGCCTTTTCGTCAATCCGCTCATCCCCCTATTTCCGTTCCAGCATCCTGTCAATCCCTTACCCCCCACGCCTTCGATTCCCCCATTCCCCTTCCGCCTCCCGCGCAGCATCCCCGCCATGTACCCGGTGTACTACCCGAGCGGGCCACAACCGGTGAAGATGAACAACGGTCCCATTTCGCGCTCCGACGATGGCAACGATGGCCGCTGGTGGACGCGCGCCTAGACCGCCGCGGCGGACGCGTGCTCCGGGATCAACCCGTGCAGCGCGGGGCGCTGCTACACGCGCGCGCGCGGTGGCGGGGATGGTGGAGGTGACGGGCGTGCCCACCAGCAAGTGCGTTCCGCACAACCCCTGCCCCAGCCGCGGCCAGTACAACCCGTGCGGCAGTGGCACGTGTGTGAACCCCGGCGACGGCACCTACTCTTGCCAATGCCCCACCGTGAGTACCCCACCAAGCCTTCCTTTATTCCTAGCTCAGATTTTCCCCTTTCACTCGCTTCCCCTCCCGTCTGTATTCGTGCATCTGCCCTCCATTCCCACTCAATCCTTCCCATCCTCTCCAATCCTCTTCCCGTGCTCCTCTCCTCCCCCCTTCATCAGGGCTACGCCATAGGAGCGGCATCAGACGGCAGACAGACGTGCGTGGGAGTGGCAGGCAGCCTAGCCTCATTCCTCGCCTACCCCACCGTCCCCGGTGACTCCTGCTCCTCCGTTGCTGCCGCCTTCGGCCTCACCACCGCCGCACTCACCGCTCTCAACCCCTTCCTAAACTGCTCCTTTGCCTATCTCCCCCCCACGCTCGTGTTCACCATCGCCAACGCTTCCTCCACTGTCGCATCCCCCTCTGTACCGCTCTACAATGCAACGTACACCGTGCAACCCAACGACTCCTGCACGACCCTCGCCAACACCTTCTTCGCGGGGAGCCTGTCAGCACTGCGTGCTGCCAACCCGCTCATATGGACCACCTCACGCTTCTTCCTCTACCCGGCTCAGGTGACTAAGGCATTTTTCTTGCTGTTTTTGTCGTTGTGCTTCTTATTCTCTACAAAACCCCAATTCGCTGACATGCACCACCACCTCTCGTGTCTCCCTATACCCCCCCTGGCAGGTCATCTGCACGGCAACCAGCTCACTCTCCTCACCGGCAGCCGTGCACGTGCCCCACTGCGGGCAGACATACATCACAGTGGCGGGCGACACGTGTCCGTCTGTGGCATCCAAGTATGCCATCAGCCTGGGCGCCTTCATGGGTCTCAACAGCGCGCTCTCGTGCACCGCTGCCCTCCCCGTGGGGTCGTACGTCTGCGTCGCGCCCAAGAGCACTCAGGTGCGTCGCGGGAAGGGACGGCAGGGTCCCAGGACCTAAGTGGCGATATACGCGTATAGCGTATATACGCGTGTCGTATATACGCACGCGTTTATACACTATACACATTGGTCCCGAGACCCTCGATATGCTATTTTGGGCAGGTTTAAAAAAAGTTCGGGCAGCTAAAGTAAGACCCCCCTGATATACTTATGCGGTCAGTTTCCACGGGGGTTGGATTTCCCTGATTTTTTCCCCGACCCAAAATTATTCACCAACATTACAATGACACATACTCATCTCATACTACTACTCACGCTACTCCATATCAATTACGCCACCTACTCATACTCATCCTAATGGCGTCTTCCCCCTCCTCCTCCTCCTTGTCCCCCTCCACCACATTGTAGCCCTCGGGCACGGGAGGCTCCGGCATGTTCCCGAGCACCACAACATTCCAGTTGTGCGCAACAAAAACCAAATCCCGGCACTTGGCAGAGCCAAGCCGGTGTCGGCGGGCCGTGTGCACCCCATCCCATCTCACATGGTGAAGCCGACACGGGCTGAGAGAGAGTCCTGATGGCGAGGGCCGCCAACTTTGGTGCGTCAGTGCCGTGCCACTGCCACCATTTTACCATGTCATACTTGCCCTCCTTTACCAAGTTCCTCTGAGCAATTGCATCCCCCATCCCGAAGCTTCCCTTCATATCCAGAAATGCCCTCACCCCCTCCTGCAGTTCCATCAAAACCTCGCCAATGTCATCCCCATCATCCCTCTCCTTCCCATGATTGCAGAGGTGCTCGGCGTGCTGAGTGATGAACGCTTTGAATACCTTTGTGCACTCCGCGTCTGAGCCGAAGATGTCTTCATCCGGGTTCGCCGGGTTGAGAATTTGGCCCGCAATGTGCATGGGCACGCGAGGCTGCCGTCCCACCTGTTCTTTAGCAGGCGGCGGATGTGCACTTTGTCGGAGTAGGAGAGCTGCTCCTCATCCTCCTCCACCACTGTCCCCACATCCTCGGTCAACTGCAACATTGTGTCATACATACGGCCCATCATCCCCTTGGCATCCGCATCGGTCTTACGCATTGCAAAGAATGGGAGCTTCATCAGCTTGCAGAATAACTCCGCCGTTTTCCACCACGCGTCATCAAGAACTTGCGCTGCAAGCTTCTCCGCAGGCTTCTTCCTCTCCCCAACTGCCCAGCCCTTCCACACATCAGACACCACCATCTGTGCAAGCGACTGCCGCAGCTCACAGAGACGGGACACAACAATGTATTGTGTCCCGAATCTTGTTCCAAGCGGTTCCAGCGCCTGCAGCATCCTTGCACCCACCATTTCCTGGTTCCGCAAGTATCCCCTCGTCCAGTGGTGGTTGCGGACGAAGGAGCTGATATCGCCCGCAGGGTCCACCACGTTCTTGGCCCACGGCATCTTGCCGACGTCCTCAATGAAGAGGTCCAACACGTGGGTGCCGCAGGGCACGTGTTGAATGTGCGGCCATTCCGCGATCAACTGGTTGCACGCCACCGCGTAGTTGGACCCACCGTCCATGCAGAACGCCACCACGTTCTCCGGACCGACCTCCTCCACCACGGGCCTGAGGATGCTGGCAACATAACCGCCGATTTTGGTCTCCATGCGGCAGTCCATATACTGTGCCGTATACTGTGATATATATACATACATGCATGCTTACCTTTGCTAGTTTGTGATCAATTTACTGCATGTGCTTTATATAACACTGCATGTGAATTGGCCTTGTGGCCACTTGCTTGTGCTTGGACTATGTGGTTGTCTTGAGATCCACACTGAGCTTTGCTTTGTTGTTTTTGTTGACTGGTCTTGTGACCATTACTTGCTCTGGCTTTCCCCCTTTTCGCCTATGGGGGTGTGCCAAAACATAGTTATTTATCTGTATTTAGGCTGTAGTAGGGTTATGCTTTAGTGGGTACAACAGCTTTCTCGACGCCTTTCTTATACCCCCCTCTCCTTAACCTAATCAACATTTTCTCCTAAGATTCTAACAGTAGTCACACCGCGTCCATGTGTATCCATATTTTTTTCCCAGTATCATTGTTGGCGATTGGTGGTAATGGACCAATGAAATGTGAGCAGCGAGGGTGCAGAAATGGTATTGGATCGGCTGGCGATTATAAATAGGGACCCTGAGGCGCACTCCAAATACATAATCGCCATTCAGCGCGTTGAACATTTGGAACATAAAAAATCAGATGGCTTTTCGAAATGGCTTCTATAGTCACATATGCATACATGGATGAAACTGAAAATATGTATGAACTAAAGCTACTGCAAAGATGTATGAACTAAAGCTATTTCAGAGATGTATGAATAACGTCTAGCTAGGAACCATGGTTTGCCTGAGCAAACTTATGACCATTTGGTCATACCAAACATGATGAAACCTACGCAAAAAAAAAAAAAAAAAAAAAAAAGGAAGGTGATGAACCTGCAAATAATAAAATAAGATCGAGCGTGATTCGCGGAAAATATTGGACGAGCGTTTGAGGGGCTAGTGCAACGGAACCTAGTCTTACGATATTCACAAATGGTGTTGCCCCGCTCTTGTGGTGATGTAGGTTCACATGTTTCATATGTCAAACATATATGTTATAGTCTGTCTAGGCTGTAGTGGGGTAGTTTGTATAGGGTACAACACTTTTAGGTTTCCTACTTGTACCCACTTGCTTGCTAGTTCAGTCATTCCTTCCTTCTCTATTCTGACATGGTATTCTGAGAAGGTTCCCTCGTGGGAACGTTTTTTTTAGGGCCCACCACAATATTTTTTTTTCTGCCCTGCCCGAAACGCGCCTAGCGCCTGCCTCACCTGCGCCGTCGCACGCCCTGCCCTAGTGCCGCCCGTCGCGGCCCTACCTTCTTGGCCCCTCGCGGCCGTACCTTCTCGGCCCGTCGCGGCCCTGCCCCAACGGCCCGTCACGGCCCTGCCCTAACGGCCTGTCGCAGCCCTGTCCTGCCGCTGCTTGTCGCGGCCCTGCCCTGCCCTTCAGCCGCCCAAGTCGCGGCCCTTCAGCCGCCCCAGTCGCGGCCCTTCAGCCGCCCCAGTCGCGGCCCTGCTGCCGCCCCAGTCGCGGCCCTGCCCTTCAGCTGCCCCAGTCGTGGCCCTACTGCCGCCCCAGTTGCGGCCCTGCTGCCGCCCCAATCGCGGCCCTACTGCCGCCCCAGTCGCGGACCTGCTGCCACCCCGGTCGCGGCCCTGCCCTTCAGCCGCCCCAGTCGCGGCCCTACTGCCGCCCCACTCGCAGCCCTGCTGCCGCCCCAGTCGCGGCCCTGCCCTGCACCCGCCCCTGGTAAGCACCCGCGCCACCCAGCCGAGCCGCGCCGCCCTGCCGCGCCGCGCCGCCAGGAACCGAGCCGTGCCGCCCAGCCGAGCCGCGCCGCCCTACCGAGCCGCGCCGCCCTGCCGAGCTGCGCCATCCTACTGAGCCGCACTGCCCTGCCCGCGCTGCTCCTGCTGCTATTGCTGGTCCTGCTGCCACTGCTGCTACTGCTGCTACTTCTGCTACTGCCGCTATGGCTAGCCCTACTGTTCTTACCTTTGATGCTGAGGGGCGTGCGGTTGACTTTGACGTGTGGGTTGACGACCTGCAGCTCTTTCTTCAGTGTGATTCTAAGGACGGAGTATCCCTTTTCAATCATACATCCGGTGCCTCTCCTGCACCTGCTGCCTCTGCTGACAGTACGGTTCGCTCGCTGTGGACCACTCGTGACGCTGTTGCTCGCCTTGCTGTTTGTAGTCACCTGCCATCTGCTGAGCGCGCTCACTTTGGCTAGTACAAGACTGCTAAGTCTTTGTATGACGCTGTAGTAGCGCGCTACTCCTCCCCTGCCACTGCTGCCCTCAGCCGCCTCATGCTGCCGTACCTGTTCCCTGACCTTGCCGCCTTTGCCACAGTCGCTGACCTCATTAGTCACCTCCGCACTAGTGACGCCCGCTACCGCACTGCGCTTCCTACTGAGTTCTGTGCCAAGAACCCTCCCCCCATGTACATCACTCTTTACTACCTAGTCACCCGCCTCCCTGACTCCCTTGCTTCAATCAGGGACCACTTTCTCTCCCTTTGCCCCACCAAGCTCACCGTCGACCTGCTAGAGGAGCGCCTCACTGCAGCTGAGAAGAGTATCATTGCTGTAGGTGCTTCTCGCGGCGACCCTCGTGCCCCTTTCTTTGAGGGGTGTTCCCCTGTCCCCCTTCTCCCCTCTGTTGCTTCTGCTGCTGCTATCGACCTCGTTGGCGCGGAGGTTGGGACTGCGTCTGCTCCTATTGGGAGGCGCTACAACAGCAAGGGCAAGGGGGGCAAGGGTAGTGGAGGGGACGGTGGAGGTGGCGGTGGAGGCGGTGGAGGAGGCGGAGGGGGTGGCGGTGGAGGTGGGGGTGGAGGCGGGAGTGGGGGCTTCGGTGGCGGCGGTGGGGGTGGTGGAGGCAGCGGCAGCGGCGGTGGAGGAAGCGGCAGCAGTGGTGGAGGTGGCGGCATCGGTGGGGCTGGTCGAGGTGGAGCCACGCAGCGTGGAGGCTTTGGTGGTAGCCAGCGCCAGCAGCAGCCGCGTCCGCGTGAGACCCCGTCGGCCCAGCAGCTTCGTGAGTGGTACGCTGGGCGTGGGAGGTCTGGGGGTGTTGGTCCCTGCACTTACGTTCTTCGCACCGGCGGGCACCGTGGGGAGACGTGCGGGCTGCCACACACTGCGCAGCGCTGCTTCGGTCGCCTGAATGACGCCTGGCGCGCCCATTTTCCTGACGTTGTTGAGCTCCCTCGCTAAGGAGATCTGCTTAGGCAGAATGTTGCTATCTTTGATCTTGATTTCGATGCTATCCTTGCTGCCATGTATGCTGTGACTGATAGTACTTATGGTGACTGTTACCTGTGTGTTCCGCCCAACCCGGACATTGAGGCTGCTGCTCTAGGTGTCAGTGAGTCTGCTGCTCCAGGTACCAGTGATTCTGCTGCTCCAGGTGCTGGTGAGTCTGCTGCTCCTGGTGCTTGTGTGTCTGCTCTCTCTGGTGCTGCACCTACTGAGGCCTTGCACACGTTCACACTTGACTCTGGTGCTTCGTGCTCCTTCTTTCGCGACAGCACCACACTCACGCCGCTCAGTCGGCCGGTCGCATTCTCCCTGGCTGACCCCTCTGGGGGCCCAGTCCTTGCGCACTCTTCCACGGTTCTTCCGTGTCCTGCGGCCCCGTCGGGCTTGCTGTCGGGACTCCACCTCCCCTCGTTCTCTACGAACTTGGTGAGTGGAGCTGACCTTCAGGACTTGTGCGTTGACCAGTTCACCCCTGGAGGTCAGCGTGTGACCCACTGCACTTGCTCTCTGACGGGCCGCCACGTGGCCACGTTCACCCGACGGCCTGGGTCGAGTCCGTACACACTGACTATTGTGTCTCCTCCGGTTACTGCGTCTGGTCAGGTTACCGCGTCTAGTCAAGTGTTTGCTGCCGCGTCCAGGTCTAGTCCAGTGTCTGCCCCCTGCTCGTGTCGTCCTCTGTCACACGAGACTCTCCTTTGGCACCACCACCTTGGTCACCCCTCTCTGCCTCGTCTTCAAGGTTTGGCCTCCCGTACCCTTGTCTCTGGTCTCCCCCGATCCCTCCCTCCCCTTCCTCCGGGGCCTGCCCCTACCTCAGTTCCTTGTGTCGAGGGCCGGCAGTGCGCCGCTCCTCACTCCTCCGAGTTCCCTCCGACAGAGGCTCCCTTGCAGACTCTCCACATGGACGTGTGGGGCCCAGCCCGCATCAGTGGACAGGGTCACGAGCGCTACTTCCTGCTGGTCGTTGACGACTACTCGCGTTACACCACAGTCTTCCCCTTGTGCCGCAAGGGTGAGATCACTGAGGTGTTGATCGACTGGATCCGCGGTGCTCGTCGCCAGCTCAATGAGAGTTTTGGCTCGGACCTTCCTGTTCTGCGTCTGCACTCAAACAGAGGTGGTGAGTTCTCCTCCGACCTCCTGAGGGCTTTCTGTCGTGCGGAGGGCATCGGCCAGACGTTCACGCTTTTGGCCTCTCCACAGCAAAATGGGATTGCTGAGCGCCGCATTGGCATGGTCATGGACGTCGCTCGTACGTCCATGATCCATGCGGCTGCTCCCCATTTTCTGTGGCCGTTCGCGGTTCAGTACGCTGCGAATCAGATCAACCTTCAGCCTCGTGTCTCCTTGCCGGAGACCACACCTACTCTGCGGTGGACGAGGAAGGTTGGCGATGCGTCTGTGTTCCGTGTCTGGGGATCTCGAGCTTTTGTCCGCGATACTTCCGCAGATAAGCTGTCCTCCTGTGCCATTCCCTGTGTCTTCCTTTGCTTCCCCCCTGACGCACTTGGGTGGCAGTTTTACCACCCCACCTCGTGTCGTGTTCTGTCCTCTCATGACGTCACGTTTGACGAGTCGGTATCCTACTACCGTCTCTTTCCCTACCGCACTGCCTCTCTTCCCCCCCCGCCCCTCTTCCTAACACCAGGTGCTCCTCCGGTAGACCCCCTCCCCCCTCAGGGTCCTGCCCCCTAAGGTGTGTCCCAGGTAGAACCTGTCGAGGTAGCTGTCGACTCTGGTGCTGCTAGGGGTGCTGAGCCTGCGGGTGCGGGGCCTGGGGGTGCTGTGCCTGGGGT